GAATTGGAATACAGTTAAAAAAAAATAATAATGGGCCAATATCGGTCTGGATTCATAAACAGAGGCTCCCAAGTGTGCTGCTGGGGGAAAATGCCAGGCAGTTTGGAAACACCACAGGATCCAAGCTCAAATGTAGTTTGGGGAGCCATTCCAGGCATTGCACCTGGGAAAGCCCCACTTCCAGCTGAATTGTGGACAAGGCCATGGCAGAAAACTTAAAAACATGTGCTTAAGAGCTGCAAAGTGTGACACTTTAGTGAATCCTAATTTTCAGATCCCATTTGCAGTGGGATCAGAGCTGGAAAACAGGGTGGCTGCCCTGTGCAGCCATGGCCTCCCACAGAAAATCCTTGTCCTGACAGGCTGGATGTGACATCCTGCCTGCCTCAGAATCCTGTGCTGGCCAGCTGTTCCCAGATGTCCATCTCTGCCACCCATGGCCTGAGCTGGGCTCAGCAGAGCTGGGACTGCTGCAAATCCACCCCATCCCTGCATCCTGGTGGGATTTACTGCAGGCCTGGTGCTTCTCTGCCACCTTCAGTGGCCACATTGGTGCTCCAAGAAGCCAAATCCCGCTGTAACCACACTCCCACAACTCCCACACCACCTCAGGGTGCACAGAGCAGCACGGGATGCACAGCCAAGGGAATATATTTCCAGGAAGGTTGGGAACACCAGAGCTCCAGCTCTGAGCACCGTGGTGGTGAGGATTGATGTTTGAGCCCTCAGGGAGCAGGACTGACCCCCAGCTGCTGCAAGTCCTGGCCAGGGGATTAGAAATAAACCCCTAAGCCTGGCTCTGAAAGGTCGGCTGGTGTATAACATTTAGAAAAGCCTCAAACTGTTATTTCAAGGAGTATTATTATTTTTTTTTCTCCATAGGAAAAGCAAATATCTAAGCAGCTGTGGAAAAAAAAAGCTGTTCCTGACTGTCCCTTGTGGATGGGGATTTGCTGTCTGTGAACTGGGGTATGCAGTGAGAAGAAGCCTGGAGCAGAATGGCAAATGGCAGTGGCACTGCCATCCCTAATTAATTAATAGCCCTGTGTGTGACAGCCCTGGGGCCAGGGGAGGTGTTGGAGCAGGACATGGGGCAGCTGCACATCACCTGGGTTGATTTAGGAAGGTGAGAGCTGTTGACAGAAGAGATTCACACCTCCTGCTGCTCTGATTGGGGCGGCTCCAGCAGCGGCTCCAGCATCCCACTGCCCTCACCCCCAGCCAGGGAGAGGAGCAGGGCAGATCCACAGCTTCTGGGACAATTACTCCTGATTTCCGTATGTAGAAGCAAGATTAAAATCAAAACTGCCTGCAGACTTCCATGCCGTGTACAGCGCTCAGTCTGCCCGGGCTGGGTCCTGCTCTTCCTGCCACACTGCAGCCACGACAAAAAAAAAAAAACAAAACCGAATAAATTCCTCAGTAGTCTGGGAGGTGTTAAATCCATTCCTTTCTTCTTTTTATGGCTCTCTTAAGTGTGTCTACCTCCAAAAGCTTTTACTATGGGGGAAGCCAAGATAAATAAGGAGGTTTGCCCTTTGTTTCAGGGTACAGAAGGGAATCCCCCACACTCAGGGGCTGCCAGGGATGGAGTCCAGCTCCCTCCACAGCCCGGGATGTCTGTGGACCCTTTGATTGCAATACTGAGTGTGTTTTCAGTCCATTTTCCCTCACTGACTAATTTACAGCTTCCAGTCACTAATGGCTTTCATGGATTGCTTAATTATAGTTGGGGTGGATGGTGCTGCCTTGTTACCAGGGCTGCCAGATGTTCCCTTTGTAAGTCTCACCTCAATTGCTCCCAACCTTGTCAAACTTTAACCTTTGCAGCTGGGACAGCATCTTTGTGCTCTTTTCCAGGACAAGGATTGGCATCATCTGATGAAACTGGGAGAAGCAGGAACAGCAGCCTGCACCTGGCTTATGGTAGGGACTCGTGTGAGCTGGGACACTGCTGGTGTGGGAAAACTGAAAAAAGGGTCAGGAGACACTGGGGAGAGCAATGAGGGTCTCCAGGTGGTACATGACAGTCACACAGCTTGAGCTTTCTGTGTCTTGTCTCTATTCTCAACCTGCACAACGAGCATTAAACCAGACCTTCCCCTTCCCGTGTGCAGTTTGTGGTGTAGGGCTTTGAATCAGTCACGCCCAGGAGGACACCAAGAGCCCTCTTTCCAGAGGCCTTGCTCTAAGGGCAGCATGTTTGCCCTGAAATAGGCTAACAGGGCCTGGCAGCTGCCTGGCATGAGCTCCCACCAGGCTCACAAGGCTGGGGGACGAGGGGTCCCATCCCATCCCCACCAGAGCCACTGCTTTCAGAGCAGCCCCCAAGTTTTGGGGATGATCTGTTGAATCAGGCCCTCTGTGCCCCTGGCCAAGAGCACAGTATGTGTTAATGTTTTCACATCACATCAATTCTTCCCAGGCACCGGATGGAAATCTCTCTAATGAGGACAGGCTGAGGGAGCTGGGCCCCTTCAGCCTCGAGAAGAGATGACTGAGAGGGGATCTCATCCATGTCTGTCAGTATCTGAAGGGGGGATGCCAAGAAGATGAACCAGGCTCTTCCAAGAAATAGGACAATAGAGGCAATGAAAAGAAATTGCTGTCCAGGAAGTTCTACCTCAACATGAGGAACATAAGAACTCAACATGAGGAAGAACTTCTTTCATTTACATTGACCAAGCACTGAACTATCTGCCCAGAGAGGGTGTGGAGTCTCCCTCACTGGAGACATTCCAGAACCCTCTGGACACCCTTTGTGCCATGTGCTCTGGGATGACCCTGCTGGAGTAGGAAGGTTGGATCAGGTGAGTTACTGTGGTCTTTTCCAGCCTGATTCCTCCTGGGATTCTGTTTGATTTCTGAACCACTCAGCCCCACGAGCTCTGGGGAAGACTGTGGCCAAGGGCAGCACCACTGCCTGGGGGGCTCAGCAGCAGAAACAGCATTTTTCCTCCCAAAACACTCATGAGAGACAGATGAATACAACGACAGAGCTTGAAGCAAGGGTGGCCCACAGGGCTGGGAACTGTGCTTCTTGCAGGACGACCTGTGACATGCCAGGTGAGCTCTGGAGCACCCTCTGCCTCCCACACCTCAGCTGTGGTGAACTGAAAAAATGAGTTTATCAAACTTGAAAACTGAACCTTCAGGACCTCCACTCCAGTGGAAGCTGCAAAACATCTTATATAAATGAATTTACATAGAAATAAATAAGCCAGAGCTCCTCCCTGAGATGTCTGCTGTCACTTCCTCACACTGGCCGTGCCTCTGGCTCTGCCTTGGGTACATTTCTGCAGAAGCTGGGTTTGTCACCCTCTCAGCTGGAGAGCAGTGCCAGTCACCACCAACTACAGGCTTCTTCCAGCAACAAGTGGGAAAACTGGAAGTACCTGAAAAGTCAGAAGTTGGTGCTCACATGAGGAGAGTCAGTGGGAGCAGGTTTGAGCTGGGTCATGGAAAAGCTGCTGGAGTGAGGGAGCCGGGTCAGGTGCACAGTGTTGAAAAGTCCCACAGATGAGGTGGTGGTGGTGGTGGTTACCCTTAGCTGGATTGTACAGTGGATTTTGGGGGCAATCCTCCTTTTCCAGACCAGAGTAGCTTGTCATAGTGCTGCTGGTCTCTGCTGCATGGGGGAGCTGCTAAAGCCAGTCATTTTGCTGCTGGAAGAAGTCATTTAATAGCCCATTGCAAAGAGTGATGCAAAGCCCTTGTGTGGTGTAGCTGGAGCCAGGCAGGAAGAGGACAGGGAACCTGGCTGAACAGGGGAGTCAGATGGGTCGAGGCCAGTCCTGCTGTCTAAATCCTTGCTAACACACAAGTGCCTCCAGGATAAGCCCATCCCTCAAATATGGATGCTCTGCCTTCTGCATGGGGACGAGGAGCACTGGGGAGTGTGAAGTGGGATGTCCCAGGATGTCTGGGACATACACAATGAGGCTGGTGCTCAGATTTTGTCACATAGGAGGTCCCTTGGATCCTTTCTCTGTCTCCCTGCAGTGACAATTTGCATCTCACATTTCCAAAGACAAAGGCAGCCCAGCACAACTGCCTCTCTCTGCATGCAGTGCATTGATGGGAACAGTGGCAGGCAGGGATTGGTAATTCCAGGGCTCCTGCTGCTATCATACAGTCATAATCCTGATCCCACCAAGGTCAGTGGATATGGAACTGGTGTTCTTCCAGCAGAGTAGGAGTGGGGCTGGGGCATCCTCAGCTTCCAGTGGAAGTGGGGTGCTGGAGGGGACCCAGAGAGCATCACTCTTAGGCAGCCCCCTTCGACCCCACAGCTGAGCTGCACCCATGCAGTATTCCCACCTCCTTCTATTGCTCCTGATATTTTTAATATTATTTTTGTGATGGAAACTTTAGTTCTGCTCTTAACTGCTTAAGACACAGCTATTTCCTCTGGACTGTTTCCACTGCCCACAAACCTGCCCACTTCTCAGTCTGGAAATCTGCCAAAACACCGACAGCCTGAGAGAGCTGGGCTCTTCAGCCTGGGGAAGAGAAGGCTCCAGGAAGAGCTTGGAGCCTCATCCAGTGCCTAAAGCAGCTCCAAGAGAGCTGGAGAGGGACTTTGGACAAGGGCCTGGAGCAACAGAACAAGGGGAATGGCTTTAAGATGAAGGAAGAGAGGTTTAGAACAGATTTAAGGAAGGAATTCTTCCCTGGGAGGGTGGGAAGGGGCTGGCACAGGGTGCCCAGAGCAGCTGTGGCTGCCCCGTCCCTGGCAGTGTCCAAAGCCAGGCTGGACGGGGCTTGGAGCAGCCTGGGATAGTGGAAGGTGTCCCTGCCATGGCAGGGATGGAATGGGATGAGCTTTAAGGTCCCTCCCAACCCTCGCCACGGCCCGCCCGGGGGCAGCGAGGACGGTGCGGCACCTCGGGGGTCCCCGCGGTACCGAGGGGGCGGTGCTGGGCCCCGGGGGAGGCGGGAGCGGAGCGGGGCGGTACCGGGGGCGGTACCGGGGGCGGTGCCGGTACCGGGGGGCGGGCGGAGAGGTGCCGAGGCATCGCCGTGCGAACGGCGCCCCGTGTGCCTCCTGCGCCCCCGGCCAGCAGCCCCGGGCCGGGGCATGGAGGCGGCGCACAGCATCCCCGTGCTCGACGTGCTCCGCCGCTTCGGGGTCAGCGAGAGCTGCGGGCTCAGCCCCGAGCAGGTCCGCCGCAACCGGGACAAGTACGGCCCCAATGGTCAGTGTGCGGGGCGACGGCACCGCCGTGGGATGCGGGGTGGGATAGGATGGGATGGGGCAGCGATAACGGGACACCGAGCATCCCTGCCGGGATCGGGGTGTGCAGCCGGGCTGTCCCCGCCGGCTCCGGGAAGGTCCGGGGTGCTGCCCTGGGTCCCCCCGGAGCATCCTCCCGGCCCCGGCTGTGCGGAGGATCGGTGGGGATGTGCCGCGGGACACCTGTTGATTAAGACAGTATTTATTTGCTTTAATTAAAGGCTAATTACAGCGGGTACGGGCGGCCAGGAACGTTGGCAATTAGCGGGGTGTTAATTGCGCTGGCGGAGTGACAGAAAGCGGGGAGGGACAGCCGTATCTCGTTACCAGGAAGGAAAGAGGGGAAGGGCTCGTTGGCTGTGGGTGACCGAGGGAAGCCCCAAAACAGCCGTGAGAGGTGTCCTGGGGGATCTCACTCGCCCCTATCGAGCTGTGCTGCTGTGGGAGAGGGAGGGGTGGTGGGGACACTGTCCGTGTGCCAGCCCCGCCGGCTGTCCCGGTGTCCCTGTGTCACACTGGCCCGGGGGACCCTCTGCGAGCAGCCGGGCATCTTCACGGGAGCGAGAAGGGGAATTTTTAAACGTGTGTTTTGAAAGTGTTCAGTGTGCCCAGGAGGGGCTGGCGGGGGTGTCTGGACCTACCCAGGTGATTTTAGGGTGGCTTTGTTCAGGCTGTGACCCAGGTCGGAAACAGGAGGGTTTAGGGTGGTTTGCTCCAGTGCTTTGGAGTAGTGAGTCCCTTCTCAAACTTCTGCAAGGAGATAAGTGTGTAAACTCTCTCCTGGGTTCGAGCTTGTTGCATCTGCTTTTTGCTTGATCTTCGTGGATGAGGCTAAGGAAAGCCTGAGCAGAAGCTGGCAGGGTTGCTGTGCGCATTTCTGTTTGTTGGGAGGGCTGCGTTAGGTGGGATCAGAGGGCTGTGACTCCTCCAGCCCTGTGAGCAGCTGTCCTGTGCTGAGCTGTGCTCAGGGCCCCCCATCCCAGCAGTGCTCCCTGTCCCAGGCAGCCTCAGCTCCGTTCCCTGAGCCAGGATGGGCACGGCTGCACTTGGGAGCTCTTGCCACAGAGCACCTGCACAGGCTGCAAGCCATGGAGCATCACATCTGCTCCTGTTAGGCCTGATTTTGGAGAAGGGCAGCTGGGGACCCTGGCAGTCTGGTTAACGGGGAGGAACCTCTCTGCTTTGGGGGCTGAAGGCAAAATACATCCTTAATGCAAAATACACCCTTATCGTACAGGTCAGGTGGTTGGTCTGATTTCAGGGTACAGTTGCAGCCAGTTTCTGTGCCATGCCCTGGCCCTGCAGGAGCATGTGGCTGAAGGGTGGTCTGTGCTGGGGTGTCACTGATGGGCATCACCTGTGTGGGGCTCCTGGTGGCTTTGTCCCTCTGTTTGCCCAAGTGAATCACCATCACTGAGTCAGGCGTGTTGGCTGCTCAGTGCTACCGAGCTCTGCCTTGAAAAAGGGAGCACAAAGCTGTGACGTAGGTGCAGAGCAAAGGGTTAGTGGTGGCAATTAGTTTGCCTTTAATTTTTTTTTTCTTTCTGCTTCCTGCTCTTGCAAGCAGTGGCTCTGTACTCTCCTCGCTTGGCAGTTTTGTTTCCCATGCACCCCAGCATTGGGTTTCTCACAGGCTGTTGGTTCACAAGAGCTGCTGGCTTTGGGCTGTCCTGTGCCTTTCACCTTCTGCAGCTCCTGTGCTGCACAGCTCGCAGCAATGTGCCTGAATGCTGAGAGCAGTGATGTGGGCAGGGCAACCCTCAGTGAAACGTGGTAGAAGGTTTTTAAGTATTCTGAATTTCTGCAATTTCTGAGCAGTATTTATATTTTCCTCATGGCGCAGCTGAGACAGAGACAGTTTAGAACAGCTTAAAACCGTGCAGATAGGGACCTGTGTGGTTTCCTCGGTTTAAAACCTTGATTTTAAGCAAAAAGTAGGGTTTTTTCCAGCATGGTGAGAACTTGCAGGTTGTGTTGTGGCAGCAGGCACCAACCTCCTTGGCTGTGCTGGGATACCCTTGGCTGTCCTGTTCGGGAGAGCTGCTTGGGATGAGGATGCCACAAGGGAGCAGCTTGGGACAACGAGCTGGGCTTGGAGATGGGCTGTATCAAATTGCATTTCAGTTTAGGTTTAATTTAAACTCTGGCAGCAGAAGTGTGGGGCAGTTTGGTGACTCGTTTGAGCTCGCACAGAAGGGGAAGAAAAATCTTGTGTGGCTCGAAGTGCAGAGCAGGCCTTAAGCTCCAGCTACTTTCATTTTCGCACCCTCCTGTCTCACATTCATTCATTTCCTTCTAATCTTGAACTCCAAACTGCCAGTGTGGTCGTGAATCACAATCTAAAATACATCATCTTTCTGAAAAACTGCCTCCTGACATGCTTCATGGAGCTGCTGGCTGCTGCTTTTTTATTGCATTTAAAAAAATACAAGCTGCAACGAGCTCTGACGTTAAGTGAGAAGCAGCCGTCATTGGTGTGACTGATATAAAATTATTTTATTTTTTGGGGGCGGTATTCTTTTGGAGCTTAAAATTATTTTTTTCAGATCCAGTGCTCACAAACACATTTGCAGGAGGAAACAGAGAGCAATACTGATTATTTGGTATCTCCAGTTCGTGGCTGGGGAGCCAAGCAGTGTGGTACAGATTACTGGAGTGGAAGAAGATATTTCTCCATTAGGAAGAGCTTGTTCTTGTTTAAGCTCTGTCATCAGTGCTGTCAGCATGGCCTTTCATTTGCCAAGGAAACTGGAGAAGCCGCAGAACATTTAGGTCTCACCATGGCAATTCTGAATCTCCCAAGTCAATTTTAATTAATAAATGCTTTGGATGTCTCACATGTGCCTGGCAGGTGTTTCCCTATACCTCATCCCATCCACCAGTTCCAAGCTCCACAGGTTGCTTTTAGTCCACAAAACTTAAAAAAACAAACAAACAAAAATAACCAAATGCACATCTGTTATTTTATAACAGACTGAGCAGGAGGGTAAGGGCATGCAAAAATTTTCCTTCCTAAATGTAAAACCAGGGACACAATTTCCGTCAAAATGATTTGAGTTTTGCTAAGGAACGGCAGATGTAAACAGGAGTTGCTTCGTGGACAGACAAGTGATTTTTTTTTTTGTTGTTTTAAATATAGCTCTGATTTCTCTCTTCTAAATGGATTTCTGAGTGTAAATGAGCATACATTTCAGGCAGGATATTGCTGGCATTAATGCGTATGCATAATTTTATTTGCTCCATCGGTAACCTAAATGGGCTGTGAATGTCAGCAGAGTCAAACTCGAGGCTTCAGCATAGGGGTGTTTATCTCATCTCGTGTTTCATCTCCTCTGACTCTGAAGCAGAAGCCCTGCTGTGGTTGGAAACTCAGCTGGGCAGGGCCATCGTGCCCATCCTCCCTCCCTGGGGGCTCACCCATCCTCTTCTTTACCTGCCCTGCTCTGGGGTGACCCCACCACGATGCTCTGCAGATCCCATGCCTTGCTGAAGGTGCAGTGTAGCTGTGCCCAAGTATTACTCAAACCAGCTTCAGCACCGGCTCAGCTCAAAGCCCACCAGCAAATCTTCTTGTTTTGTCCCCACACACCTCCCTGTGTCTCTGTAAGCCTCATCCAGGATCCCCAAATCTTTGTGTTTGTTTTCCCATGTGCGTGCTGAGCCTGCCTGGGCGGGAGGAGGAGACATCCCCAAGCCCAAACCCAGCCTGGGCTGTGCTGCTCCTCTCCTCAAACCCACCAAGGCTCATCCTCAAGGAGCTGGCAGGGGCTCTGAGCCCCTGTTTTTGCTAGGAACAGCACCCATGTACGATTTATTTCCATCCTTTTCCCAGGGTGTGTGTGTACATGCCTCTGTGTCTGTGCGTACTCCGCCTGCAGAGCGGGGCTTGACGCTGAATTAGCTGCTGGTGGTTGCTAACGAGCCAAGGTTATGCTCCAGCTCTCTCCTGACAATAATAAAAACAACCAAAAAAAGAAGAAATAAAATTTCTATTTCACGCTGAAATATTTGAGGTGGCAGTAAGGAGAGGAAAAGCAACATTTTCTGACTCATCAAACTCTGCGCTCTGTTCCTCTGTGCATCGCCCACCTTTTCCACCCCCGAAACACACGCTTAACAGTCTGATTCATAAACATGCTACGGGTTGTGGGGCTTTTTTTTTTTCTCCTCCTCCAAATCCTTTCCCTGAGGAGACATGCTGAGGCATTCAAACCTTGCGAGTGCCTTCAAATTTGGGGAGAGACTACACGAAGTTTTTGTAATTGGCAAGGAAACTTTGGGGCTTTCATCTCTGCGCCATCCTCTGAGGTTACCTGCATTCACACCTACCTTTAAAAAACACTGTGAATCAAGAGCAGTGTTCAGAAAAACTGACATCTGCTATCTAAATGCTGCAGGAACCAGGAAAGGAAGATTTGCAGGGCAAGAAGACACAGAAACTCAGCTGTGGGGGAAGGGGCTGTGCCTGCAGGTCTTGTGTTTACCCCTGGGGTTGGTCTGCCTTGTGGCACAAGTGTTATTTCATGAATATTTTTATTTCATTGCTGGTTTTAAAGCTGAGGGTGATAGAGCTGGTGCTACAAAACTCTGATTTAAGAGGAGCTGCATGCACTGTGGATGCCCAGATGCTGGCTTGGGATGTGCTGCTTCCACAGTAAGGGGCTGGAACGGGTCCTCCAAAAACACCATTAGCAGCAAAATACCCCCCTTCTCCCAGGGTAATCCTTTTCCCCGGTAATTCAGGTGTCTCGTTTGAAGTCCCTACTCCAGCCAAGCATTTATGGCCGTCCTAGAGTCATGCATGCCATCCCTATGTAGTCACACCTCTGCTCTTTGCCCTTTCAGCACCATTGATCTTTCTGCATGTTTTAAGCCTTTTCTTATCTCCAGATCTGATTTGGATCTGGGTCATCTCCTCCCAGGGTAAATCCCTGAAAAATCCTATTGATATTTATGTTGCAA